TACAATATTATGAGCCTCCAGCCATAGTTCTTCAGGCACTCTGTCCACCAAATCGAATTCTTTAAATCTGTTCTTCACTTCCACTGTATATTCATAAGGGATTTGGTTTAGATTATACCTGACTAGCCCAGTGATTTTTCCTACTTTCTTCAGTTTAAGCTTGAGTTTTGCTATAAGAAGCTGATGATCAGAACCACAGTCAGCTCCAGGTCTTGTTTTTATTATGTTGTGGTACATAAAACCACAGAATTCAAAGAGGGTGTACTTTCTTTTTCACTTGACTGTATATGCTACTTCACCACTACATTTTTTTTTATTGTTTATTTATTCTCTTATATTATATTTATGCTATTTCCATCTCACTTTCCATCTACAGCAAGTGGAAAACAGATTCAGCCACCAAGCAATTAAAAGCAGCTTAGTCAAAGACAAGATAATTAAATTAAGAACAATACAAATCAAAGAACTAAAAGCCAGTTTAAAAGCATACAGTATATATCTACCCCATTCCTAAGAGCAGTGAGAATAGAAATTGGCCACATCTTGGCAAACAGAGCATTCTGGACTTCAGGAGCAGCATCAGAAAAATCTATGGGCTTTTTGACTAGACCTTCCTAGGTGTTGGCAAGGGTGGGCCGGCCATTAGCTGGAAGGAGGTGGTCTGCTGCCACTCCCTCATTGCCACCTAATTCCCTGCCACCCCATGACTCTGCTGCTGCAGTGCTGAACACTTGCAGTGGAGGGAAAGTGAGGAAGAAGAGGGCATCAGTGATAGGAGCATTAGCACAGTGGAGCGTGTCTGAGCTGTTGGTCAAGGAGACATGGCATTGTGAGAGGTTCTGTCCCACAATGCCTTGGACTTTAAGACTCCGTCCTTTGGCGATATAGCTGTGTGGCTATATTCGAAAGGTGATCAGGCAGCCGGCGGCAATTCAAAATAACTCACTTTGGCTGTCGCTGCCACTCTTGTCCTCTGCTTCCTTCCCCCTCCGTCTGTAAGTGTTCCCTTGATGTATTGTTGGGGAGCATGGGCTGCAGGGGTGTCAGGGACTGAGGGGCAGCCAAGAGCAAGGGTAGTGGTGGTGCTTCTCCTTCCACTTCATGAGAGTGGTGGGAGAGCTTGGACTGCCAGTGAGCATGGGTGTTCTTAACAGGGCCTCCCTGAGGATCTTAATGGCTGAGTATGTTCGTAATGATATAGACTTAGACTGCCATGCAGTGAACTGCTCGCTGCTTTAAGGGATAAAACCAACACATTGAACTGGGCTTGGAAGCTATCAGACAGACATTGCACATCTTTCTGCAAGGTCATAACATCTCAATATCACATGCCATTGAGAAGCTTACTTGCTACATGCTGCACCAACTGCCGATCCTGGAAACTCTTCAGTGGCCAAAAAATATTGGCACCCTTGCAATTCTGTCAGAAAGATGCAACCCTTCTCTCAGAAAATTGTTGCAGTTGCAAATTTTTGTTACTCACGTGTTCAATTCTTTGGTTTGCATTGGAACAACACAAAAAAAGAGAAGAAAAGTCAAATCTGATACAATCCCACACAGAAACCCAAAAATGCACTGGCCAAAATTATTGGCACCCTTAACTTAATATTTGATAGCCCCCCTCTATTTTAATTTTCTCTACTGTTTTATTTTTCAAAATATTTCCCTACTGATGCAGGACTATTCTAAGGACTATTCTAAATAAATGAGATACATTAGCATTATTAAGTGTACCATGCTAGGCAGATGCACTGCTGTTTCGCTATGTCACTTATATTATTGGGGGGGGGGAGTCACCATGGCCCACTGAATGATGGCTACAGGAAAAGGGAAGACGGTTTAAAGGTAGCTTGGGGGGCAGGAGATGTGTAGAAAGTAAATAAAAGCATGGGGAAAACCATCTGGATTGAAGACTGGCTTTCCTCAACCACAGACACACACACATACACATCCTCCTGAGGAATAAAGTGCCTATCTTTGGAATGCCAGCTCAGGCTTTTAGAGCCTGCCATTGTTGCCACCACTGCTTCCTCCCTGCCATGGGCTCTGACCCCACAAGGCAGGGCAGCCTCAGCACAGCCTTAGCTAAGAAGAAAGTCAGGAAAAGGGGGAAGGTTATCTTCTGTCTGTCTTCCCAACCTTCACACCACTGAGATTGCCCTGCTACAGCTTTCTTTTGTTGCTATTGCTACTGCCTCCTTACTCGTAGGTAAACTGGCCAAGCTTTATATGCAGATAAATAAGGCAAACCTTACAAGTAACCCAGTGATCCAAAAAGCTGTCTGTACCCTTCTCACGGGAGAGTAAACATGTCCAGTGTGAATGGAAGGATTGTTCAAGTTTTAAAAATAAATTGAAATTTACCATTTTTAGTATGGCATTTCTCTGATTCTTTTTTTAATATTTGTGCTCATACCCTTTTTAGCTTTTAAATGTTGTCTTTTAATGATATAAGTCACCTTGGGTCCATTTAAAGGTGTGGTAAAAATATTTTTAAATAAATAGCTGAACTATTCATATTGCTAAAATGTTTATTTCATCATGCATGCTTATTCTTTGCTATGTAAAATGTTGTAAACAGTTAATAAATGCTAAGATCGTTAAGGAATGTTAAGAAACCTTAGAAGACAACAACGTAATGGTCCATGCCACAGGCATCTCTGCAAAGGCTGTGATTCACTGTTTCCAGAACTTGGATAATAGAATGACAACCCAAAACAGGAACCATATGGACCTCAGGCCAGAAACGGACATTAGAGACAGCCCATTATTAGAAGTGAAAGAGCATTAACTTTGCAGAGAGGTGACTGAAACGATCGTTCTATGTTTATGAAACTTAGCCTTCCACAAAATCCCTTGGTTAAGTCACAAAGGCTAATCATCAAATAAAGCAAGCTAATTTGCATAGTCCTGGATGTGAAAGACGCAGACATGGTGACACTCAAATTCTCACATTAACTAAGAACATCCTTCTTCCAGTTATGGGACATCTCTAATGTCTGTTTCTGGCATCAAGCATTCCTATGAGAACCAATATTTCCCCTGTGTAGTGACTACACATTACTATTACATGTGAACGGAGAATAGAAGTGTATAAGGGGCCACAGCTATAAGAAAGGGGCCACTGCACAGGAAGCTAAGTACAACATCAGAATTGCTTAGCTCCTCTGAGCCAGTTAGTATCTATAAACTGCATGCAGATGCTCCTTTGTCATATGAACTGTGAACTTGTACTAACATGGGGTTAATTATCTACTTCAAGTGAAGCCCTAAACAGTCTAGAGCTAGCCATTGTTCATATGAACCCCAATGCTTACCAAATTAATTGCACTGGTAGAGTGGCCATATACACATTACAGGAAAAGAAAAAAAAATGGGTCACTCCAAAAAAAAAGGCTAAGAAGGGGCACATATTTGCATACAATTATGCAAAAGGTTCATTGGCTAATATATATATAGGGTAATACCTAACTAGAGATACCCAGTGTGGTATAGTAGATATATTGATGAACTAGAAGTCAGGGGAACTCGGTTCAAATCCCTGCCCACCCATCAAGACTCATTGTGGGTTGGTGGGTGGGAAACTGGTAAAACTACTTTAAATTTCTCACTTACCTTGAAAAACCTTTGATAGGTTACTGTAAGTGAGATGTACCGTATTTTTCGCACCATAAGACACACTTTTTCCCACAAAACGGGGGTGGAAAGTCTGTGCGTCTTATGGAGCAAAGAAAACAGATTATATTTTCCTGTTTTCTTCTCCTAAAAAATTGGTGCGTCTTATGGAAAGGTGCGTCTTATGGAGCGAAAAATGCGGTAATTTGGTGGCACATAAGAAACCCAATGTATATGAGTGAATAGAAAGAGTTACTGCCATTTAAATAATTTGAATTGAAACGAATACCTTTCCCCATAGAAGGAAAAAGTTGACCAGTGATCAGTATGGTGGAAATAACTGCAATTTATTCCTGTGCCCTCTTCTGATCACTTGTGGGTTTCTCTCTCTCTCTGTCTCTCTCTTCACATTTTAGGCACGTCCAAAAGGAGAAGGTCTTACACCGTACCAGGGGAAGAAGCGCTGCTTTGGTGAATATAAATGCCCAAAGTGCAAAAGAAAGTGGATGAGTGGAAACTCCTGGGCCAACATGGGGCAAGAATGTATCAAGTGCCACATTAATGTCTATCCTCACAAGCAAGTAAGCCTGTTTCAAACCTCCTTTGAACAGCAAAATATATACACAGGAGGAAGTGAAGTCAACGTGAGTTGAGATCAGAGATGGGCACAAATTGCTAGTTCGGCAGTTTGTGCCAGTTTTTTTTTTGTCAACCGAACAGCTGTTTGGTGCTTCCCAGTCCTGCCACCTCTGGTGGGCGCCCACTCAAAGGCAATGCCCAGAGGAGGTGGGGCAGGGAAGCCAGAGTGCTGCTTCTTAGCGCACACCCACCTGAGGAGATGGGGCTGGGAGGCACTGAACACCTGTTAGACCAAAAAACGAACTGGCATGTACTGTTGAATCTGCAGTTCATGCCCATCTTTGATTGAGTTGGTGCAGTTTCAAATTCCCTGAGATAAAAACCTCATATTACCAGACCCCACGCTGATTCTCCAGCTTTGCATCTCCATTTTGGAACTTCAATTTGATGACGATACTGTGGCTTCAACAGGGTGATTTTCAGACATGTCTGTTTTCCCTGCCAAGCTCTGTGATACTCAGCTTGATGAGGACTCAAAAGCTCTCCTTTTTAATCATATTACAGTAGTCCAGGGTCTCAAAAAAGGGTGCTTTTTTCAAGATTGTTCTAGAACCTGCCCAGAGATTTCACTGTAGCGGTCATGCTGGCTGGGGGATCACTCAGCAAAGTAACTTGTCCAAGCTCCCCCAGCTTTCCTCAGAATTGCACTTGTTCAAGCCAAACAAGGAAGTGAATAGCCTCTTGAGATTCTAGAGAACTGTGTAAGGAGGATGAAAATGGGAGGCTGAAAGAGGTTATTAATTCAAAGAAACAGCTTTGGGAAAAGGTATGTAGTGGCGGCATGAAAAAGGTCAGCTGGAGGAGCAAAGCAGAAATAAAAAAAAATTTCAGTGCTCTGATGAAGCCTTCAGATTAATTCAAACTAGGTCAACATGAAAACTGATCCATTGCAAATGAGACTGGAGGCAGTGGGACTAGCAACTGATGACACCCTGCCAGAAACCCAGGATCCCTTCCAAAGCACAGTCTCTGCTCCCTTGCTGACCATGAGGACAGAAGCCGCTGAGTGAAAGAAATTCCCAGGGTAATTCTCCACAATTATTGGGGTTCACAGAAAGGTTTCTAGGCATTAGGTGAAGCCAGACATTTTGATTAATGGCTTGTTTGCAGGATTAAACATATGCTTGGGCTTGGGGGGCAGAGCTGTTCTCTTCACCTTGCATATCTTTACTCAGCGGGGAAACAGACATGTGCCTTGGCAACTTTTCCTTTCTCATTTACACAGGTCGCTTTCAGAGTCACCGTTTTTAGATTTTAATATAGGGGGAGAGTTAAGCTATTGCAGTGGGAGGGGCCAAATTCTCAGGATAGCTTAGAAGCTTGCCAAGCTCAAATGCAATGCATTTTGACAGCAGTTGTCTTGGGGGAGAGAGGGGAGGGGAGGAGTGACTCTAGCAACCATAGCAACACAAATCAAACAAGCACCACCACTCAGTGTGTAGCGCCTGTAAGCCTGCCAAAAATATAGGTCTGCTTGAGGAATGCTCATGTGTGGACTGAAATAGGGACGGGGAAAACATAGCCCTTCTCATTCTTCTTGAATTGTTACTCTGATCCTTCTCAGATGAGTTTCTGGGAAAGGGAGGGGTCTATCCAGTGGTGTGAGCCTGGAGCACTGTTTGTGGTAGTGTTACAAATTCTGTCAACCTATCTTAAATTTTAGCTATACAAGTTAAATTTAAAATAGCTTTTCTTCATTCTTCTTGTACATTTTTTCTATATAAAGGGAATGTGTGTATTTCTGCAGCTTTAAAGAGTTACTCTTTCTGGACTATAACTCTCAGAATCTTCTGCTGGTCATATCAGGTGGGAGATACAATGAGATGGGTTCCAAAAATTAACTGGACTGAGCATTGGTGATTCCCCACTGACAATTTGAAAATAATATAGCAAGCTTCCTCGTGCTGACTGTTGGTAACAAAGATAACCAGGAAGCCTAAATCCTATTAGCAACAACTGTAATCAAAGTCTGTGGAGATTTCTTAATTTATGGCAACACGCTGCTAAATGTTATGGCTTTTGCTTTACTGCATAACAGGATTTTGGCCATTGAGTTTTAAAACTATTTTTGTATCAAAATCAGCAGGATGAGCCCAAGATATTTTTTCAGCACTGATGATGGAATAGTATCCTCTACCCCAGTGGTCCCCAGCCTTGGGCCTTCATATGTCCTTGGACTGCAGCTCGCAGAAGCCTTCACCACAGCCTCTGCTGGCCAGGATTTCTGGGAGTTGAAGTCCAAGAACATCTGGAGCCCCAAGGTTGGGGACCGCTGCTGTACCCCACCAGAGAAGCAAATTAGTCCAGGTGTCATATACCTCTATAGGGACTCACAGTATAACCACAAGCAACCCTCTAGAATCAGATGCCTGGTCAGCTTAAGTACTCTGAACAAATTGCTCAAGCACCAGTAATCATTGTTTATAATAAGTAAAGAAATAAATAATGCTAGATTCGAGTTCTCCACTTCCCAAGCCTGCTTGGGGACATAGACTCACTTGAGATCATCCCATTTCCCCAAATCTTCTAATCTTACCTTTATTGCTCTCCCATCCCCTGGCTTAGACTTTTGGACTCTGAGGATCTGAGTAAGATGTAATAGGTGTCAAAGTTTTTACCCACAATCTAAAGACATTATGCACACTACATAACCAGGGCTGGCCTTGACCATTTTTGCATTTGAAACAAAATACCAAAATTACATCTTCCTCCAGCTTGATTTTTTAAAAATGATACTGTGATGGAGGCTTGGAATTGTAAGTTGCATTCCCCCGTCTTCCGGAAATCAGCTGCTGACACAAATTGTTTCATCATACCATCGTGGGATAGCAAACATCCTGAACCTGGCAAACCAAGGAAAAAACAAAAACAAGGAAAAAACAAAAACAAATTTAAAGTATTCTGCATATATTTCAGTACTTTCCAGAGCATGAGAAAGTTGCTTTTTTGGCAATTTTTTACTCCTCAAGTCCTCCTGCCAGCATGGCCAGTAGTTTTCCAAGCACTGGTATTTCCCCTTCAGTTCCTGGCTATTTCTAAAGCTATATGTCAATCTTTTTTGAGGCATAATTCTAACAGGTATGCAGCAGGTGCAGTGTGCTCAAACAGTTGTGGTTTGGCACCTGACATTTTAGTAGATTTGCCCTATAGGTTTTACCCTGTGCACGTTAACTTGAACATTTGATTGCTTCCAAATGAACTTAGTATGCACACAATTGCAGCCTCAGAGTCGACAGAGCCTACCGCTCACACAGATGCAGGAAGTTTCCATGTTGCCCTTTAAAATACTTTTCCCCTCCTATGGTAGCTTGCTAGATTTTATTTGATTTTCCCCCAATTGCATGGTGATGGAGCTCTAGCAAAAGCAAGGTGTCCCATTTACAGAAGGCTGCTGTCTTTTGTCCAGCTAGTTGTTCATTCTCCTTTTCGTTTGACATCACAGCAGGCCCACAGCAGAGCTGGCAAGCATATCCATTTCCTTGGCACTCTTGGCAGCCTCATCGCCCAGATGCCAACCCCTGAATGGTCATTCCCTCTGCTTTCCCATCGTCCTCTTCCAGCCACTCTCTCTCGAGGACAAGTGTCAATGTCTGTGCCTGCTTCCTGGTTGGTCTCTGTATTTTTGGCTTTCTCCCAGGATGTTTCTGTGATGACAGCTGTAGAACTGGACACAGACTCAGCCAGCTGGTGGCTGCTTTGCTTTGCTGAATGCCATCCTCCTGTGTAGGGACAGGGTGGGGGGGGAGTTTAGAATTTTGTTCAGTCTTGCAACTAGAATGAATTCACCCCCACCCTCATAAAGCCCCAGATGGATCTGTCCACACCCAAATGTCTGAGTAATACAATTCTTCTGCAGAGTTCCAGAAATATTATCTGTTTTCGTTCCAGCCACCAAAGACAGAAACAGCCTGGGCATCAAATGAAGCTTTCAGACAAACTTCTGTATAATTTTTTTACTGTTTTCACATGTGAGGCTCAGAATATTTCTCTTGCCACTCCCCAATTTACACATTCAATCAATGTGAAATGCCAATATGCACCTCACATTGGTTAGAATGTACCTTCAGATGACAAATGTTACTTCGGCACTTTTGGTTCTCTACTCATAATTGTGACTTCTTTCCAAAACTTGGGAAAATTAACTTTTTTGGACTACAACTCACTAAAGCTTAGGATTTATAGTTTTTAAAAATTCTAAGGCTCTGGTTGTAACTTACATCCAAAGGCTGGCAAAGTGGGCACTTGCCTGGGTCATCAAGCTGAAGTGGGCACTGAGCTGTGTGTGGTGACTCGGTGTTTAGTGAATGTCTTGGTTGAATTTAGTTAGATGTGGGGTGGAGGCAGCAAATATCTTTTTAAAAAACCCTCCAAATTTGTACAGTTTGAGTATATAATTTACCTGAAAAACTGGAGTTGTGAGTAGCCACATTTAAGGCTGTAAGAGAAGATGAAGACTGTATAGACGAAACTCTTGAGCAGCAACTGAAGGAGGCACTGGAGGTGGAAGAACAGCAAGACAAAGCAGAGGAGGAGAAAGCTGAGGAGAGAACAAACACAGTGGAGGAAGCACCAGGGAAACGAGTCACAATTACGAACCCAAAAAAAAGAGAAGACACTCTTCACCAGTGGAACTGTGAATCAGATTTCAGATTCTTGGAAGAGGAGTCTAGCAGACAGCATGCAGAGGAAGACATACAGGAGACTATGTGGGAGGACATGAAAGAGGCTGAAGCTCAGCCAACCAAAGTCAATTAACCCACACCCTACAAAAAGTAGAAGAGAAGAGTAGTTGTAGCAGGAGACTCCCTACTGCATGGGACTGAAACTGAAATATGTCGGGAAGATCTATGGACCTGCCAGATTTGCTGTCTCCCTGGAGGACAGAATAGGGATGTAATGGAAGGATTACCATTGCTCATACAAACAATGGATGCATATCTCT